AGAGCAAATGTTCAGTATTTCACTGGAGGTTCTACCCAGTGCAGTAAGATATAAATAAACTTAAAAAGACACATTGGAAAGTAAACAACAAATCTACCAGATGGCATGATTAACTCTATAGAAATTTAAAATGCAAAAAGAAATATTTTAATTAGAGTATTTATAATATGGTAAAGGGATGTAAGATTATGAATATATAAACTGAGTATATTTTAAATTCCAGAAACACAATTCAAATAGAAATATAAATACCATTACCAAAAGCAGGAATATGCTGGGCACCAGTAGCTCATGCCTGTAATCCTAGCTACTCAGGAGTCTGAGATCTGAGGATCATGGTTCAAAGCCAGCCTGGGCAGGAAAAGCCATGAGACTCTTGTTTCCAATTAACCACCAGAAAACCAGAAGTGGTGCTGTGGCTCAAAGTAGTAGAGTGCTAGCCTTGAGCATAAAGCTCAGAGACAGTGCCCAGGCCCTGAGATCAAGCCTCACAACCAACAACAACAACAAAAATGAGTATATAATGTATCTATGACTAAGTCTAACAAGATGTATAACAGCTTTATTGATAACCTTATGTAGAAACATATTTAAAAGACCTAAATTAATAGGTGATGTGGGACATTCTCTCTGCTATGCCAAGTTAGCCAACCTGTCTTATCTCTCTTTCTGGGTAGTTCTGCTATAATTCTAGCTAGTGAAATGTTGGCAAAAGTGGTCCATACCAGTAAGTGATCTGGTCTTTAAAACTTCTGTGCCATATATTCCTATGCATTCATTCTGGCTTGTTGCCAGAGCTCTAAAGTCAATGGAGCCTACACCCCTGAAATCCACTTGCTATTCAGGAAAACTCACTATCGGTGGGAGAAGTAAGTTAATGTAGAGTGTCCTCTTTTGAACCTTCTTGGAAATATTTACTCTAAAATTATTTACTTTAACTCACACACATGCACCGTGTTTAAAAATATAAAGATGGAACATCCTATAGTTATTGATGCTTTGATCTACTTGGACACAGTTCCAGTAGAGCTTTTCATAGAACTTGGCATGCTGATTCTTCAATTTCTGTAGAAAAACCCAGGATTTAGAATAGCCAAGACATTAATGAAGACAAACAAGAAGAGCAGCATGGAAAAAAGATTGCTTTCTCAGATATGCAAGTTAATTAGAATGCTACCATTCAAACTAATTCCTAGTGGAAAAATCTGAGTTAAAACTACTGTGATTTTACATTCATAAATATCAAAAAGTAAAAAGTTTGTATTAAAAAATGATGATGATGGGATGGGAAGGTGGCTCAGTGGTAGAGCACTTGCCTTGCATGCCTGAGGCCCTGGGTTCGATTCCTCAGCACCATATAAGCACAAAGAAAAAAGCCAGAAGTGGCGCTGTGGCTCAAGTGGTAGAGCGCTAGCCTTGAGCTGAAGAGCTGAGGGACAGTGCCCAGGCCCAGAGCTCAGAGCCACGACCACCCCCCCCCAAAAAAAATGATGATGAGGGGGCAGGACAAGAGCTCTTACATACTTCCTGTAAAGGAGGTGATGACAGTTCAATCCCTTTGCAAAGAAGTTGGGCAATATCTAATAAGATACTACATTGACACAGTATTCCTAGTTCCTTACACCTATCCACTAGATAATATGAGAAATTAGTTCTATAGAAGCATTTCTGTAGTAATACAAAATGAGTAATAACGTAAATGTCCATCATCAGCAGAATGGGCAAAAAAATCATGGTATATTAATTCATGGCATTATGGTAAAGCAGTGAAAATAAATGTATCAGTGTACATTAAATTCATAAATGTAATTTTGGACAAAAAAATCTCATTTTCCCCAAGATAAGTCTGATTTAATGACTGAAAGTTACATAATATTTGGAGATGTTAGATATGTGGTGAAATAAACTCAAGCAAATTCCTGAGCACTGGTGCACCCTTAGCAACAAGCAGGAAGACACTGGGAGTCATACAATAAGGCTATCTCTTTGTTATCTTCTAGCTATTTAGCAGGTGGTGGCCTGAGGTTGTTTTATGCTGTGCTTTGTAATTCCTATTTGTATTATATATTTATATATGTGTGTGTCACACATTTCTCAACTTTAGACATAAAAATGAAACATTGATTCTAACCATATTCTATTGGTAGACAAATTAGCTATGTAATTAAAATGCAGTTAGCTATATTTATATCTTATTGAAATGATATTAACAGTTATTGCTTCATTTTTTCAACAAACATGAGTTGAAAATCTGCCATGTTATAAGTAGTATAAAACTGCATTCACCTCTACTCAAGAATCTAGGTTTATTCAAACCCAAGTAGATACTGCTGCTATCAGAAATGTAACCATGGAATGTAAATTGTGTTGGGGAATTTTGTAGGAGGGAAAAGTAGGTTCTGTAATTCGAGGTGGGCTTCAAGGAGATGATGATATGAGACTTAAGAGTTTTATGGTTTGCTCTTATGCATACAAAACTTCCCTTTATCTTGCCAGAGTATTTCAATCAAAGACTGAATATTTCAGCTGCATCACCATAGCGTGACAAAGAATGGGCTGTTGTAATAACAGAGTATCCACTCATACCTTAGTCTATCTCTTTCTCTGTACTTGTCTCTATGTCTCTGTTTGCCTGTCTGAGTCTTTCTCTCTTTTCTCTGTCTCCCTCTCTGGCTCTGTTTTGGTCTCTGTCTCTCACTGATACTTAGTGTAAAACATCATTGTTGGCTGTTTAGAGGAAGGGCATTAGTATCAGAAGGACATTAAATTAACTTCGGGTGTTGGCAGGCAGGATAAACAGATTCCATTTTACCCTTGTCTAGACTTGGGTAAAGAAAATGCCCTAAAAATGCCACATAAATATTTTTTCAGAATGTTATGTTTTCATGAATCATCTGGCTTAATTAGACTGGTCATTTCGTTTCCATTTTTATGTATCTGAGAGAACCAGTATCTGACAAATTTACTGACCCAGAGAGAAACTTCTGGGAAAAAGCTCATACTTACCGGACACAAGCTCCAGCAAGCCACAATGATAATTTGTCTGTTTCTAAATGATGCAAATCATGGCTGAAGATTTGAAAGTATCTTAAAACCATCAAGCTTACTGCAGGCAGTAGAGACTTAATATTTTTTAAAAAAATTACCTTAATGTGAGCCATGTTTAATGATAGAAAATTAGTACTGACAAAGGAAACTTGTATACTCTAGATCTTAGTTTGAGATGCTCCTTCTAAAAAAATTTACTTTACTAGTGGATTTTGAGAACATAAAAGGAGTAAGATCTGCTTTCTTTCCCCTTTGATCCCTTTAATACGTAAGTCAGACCATACCATCATACTCTTTTTCTTAATCTTATGATGACTTCTTAGAAGAACACTTCAAAGTTTTTCCTGTGGTTTTCATATGCTCTCCAGAGTCTGTCCTCACTTCCTGCTTTTCTCCACATTATGGGGCAGCCATACTGATCTTCTTGCCAAGCTGTGAATTTAGCAAGCATATTTTCACCTCAAGGCATTTGTGCCAGCTCTGAACTCTTGGCAATGTCACTCTTGCTCAGATACTTACAGATCGCTGCTCCCATATTGTTCATGGACGTAGCTCTGCTGTTTCTTTCCTCATAGCATACGCTACTATGTGGCATTATATTATCATTATTGACGATACATTTCTATGTTTAATACTGATCTTTTCTGTTCAATCAGATTTATTGGAACTTGGGCTGTCTTTTAGTCCAGATACTTTCCATGTAGTGTTATTCAACAAATAATTCCTGAATGAATGAATAAATGAAGGAACTTACCTTTCTGTTACCTAGAGTGGGGGGAGAAAAGAAAAGACCAAGGCATTGTGATGGTCCATATTGATATCAAAGATGGTATGATTTTAATAGAAAATGCACAGGACTTGATAGAGAAGATCCAAGGTCTTCTGTATTAGGAACAACAATTTGGATAGGTCTGGTTTTTTTTTTTTTTAGGATCAAAGGAAATAAAGAAAATCATCTGCTTCTATACATTCTAAAATTTTGATCTCTGTGGACCACTATGCAAATATTACCAGAGAAATCGGCAATTCAAATTAAAATACACTGCTTTTAAAAAGTAGGAAAAACTCTTCTAAATAGCTAATGAACTTAAGAGGAAAATTAAGTACAATTAAAGATGAAATGAGAGCCAGTAATAAACCAACAAAATACAACATTCCCATACACTAGTGCATACAAGTGTAGTTATAAACATTGCCTCCTTGTCTCTTAAATTTCAATCTTTATATATTAGCTAGGATTTTCATGTTGGCTCTTTCTCCAAGGAATAGTACTTGTGCTAATCTCAGCAAGTTACAAATTTTAATCTCATAATATCTCCCAGCCACCTCTTAGATATAGATTTTGTGATTCAAACTGAGTATGAAAAAAATAGTAAAAGCCTACTTTGAATTAGGTTATTTAGATGCTTTTTTTCCCCTAGGAAGCAAATCTTTGTCATTATGTGATAAATACTACAAAGTATGAATAAAATGTCAGGTTCCCAAGAGATTCATTTAAGGTTAAAAAAAATGATTTCAGTATTAGTATTTGAACCAAAAAAATGGTGGATTTTCTACTTCACTCACTCTTAATATTTAGGTGATTTTTCCAATGTGTTAGCTTTAATTTAAATTCAAGATTGTTGCTCTATTATTGAAACAGTCTACGCATACCAAAACTATTAAAATGTACATGCACAGCATGTAATCCTAGCTCCTCAGGAGATCACAGTTCAAAGCCAGCCAGGGTCAAAAAGTCTGAGAGACTCTTAGCTCTACTAAACTACTCAGAAAATGCTGGAAGAGGTGCTGTGGCTCAAGGTAGAGCACTATCTTTGAGCAAAAGAAGTTCAGGGACAGTGCTTTGAGTCCTGAGGCTACAGGACGAACAAAAAATATAATAGTAACAACAACAATAATAACAGTAATAGGTTTAACAATCACTGACATTTTCTTTGGCAATATTTTTGCAGGTTGACTTTGGCTTTGCTAAGAAAATAGGTTCTGGACAGAAAACATGGACATTCTGTGGAACTCCAGAGTATGTAGCTCCTGAGGTCATTCTCAACAAAGGACATGACTTCAGTGTCGACTTTTGGTCCCTGGGAATCCTGGTGTATGAGCTTCTAACGGGAAAGTAAGTGTGAACCTTCAAGTATTCTCCAATCTCTTCCTCGGACACATGTAAAAGTGATTCACAAATGGTAGAACTCAAAAGTATAACATTTTGGAAATCTTTTTAAAGTATGTCCCTTTCCCCCTTTTCATTTAGTGGGCTTGGAATTTTACACTGTGGAGAAAAGATTCAGGAAGCTGATGGCAAAAAGTGGCAGATCACTCTGGTTTAACTGAAAGGGGAAGGTTCATTATTATAAATAATAGATTGAGTCTGTGAAGGTTTTGATAATGCAGAATAAGAGAAAGAAAGTGGGTACATGCTGATTTTTTCTCAATTCAAATAGATATTTTTCTAGTCCAGTTGAATTTTTTGATCAATCAAACCAAAATTAGCCACATCCTTCCATTTTCCCTGGGTATCATTAAACAAAAATTCTAAGAGAAGGTTCTGTTTTTCGTTTCATTTTTAATCCCTCTGTCAACTCCTTTCCAGAAGTGCTAATGAATGAAGACAAGACACGGCAGGGTTTTAGAAGTTAATATTTAGTTGTCATCCCCAAAGAGATTAAAAGATCATATTAACAAGTGCAGTGTCCCAAATATTTAGCATACATACTCATGAATATCTCCCCCAATACAGAATATATGGAATACTAACTCACATTTGTAAAACACTTTATGGTTCACAAAGCAGTCATATACGTATTATCCAGTTTAGTTTAATTTTTATATACTTGTATGGAAGATAAGTCAGGAATTTTTATTATTACTTTATGATTTAAATTTTTACAATTATTTCTATGGTTTAAATTTAAAAGGTTAAGAAAACTAGAAACCAGAGTTTGTTCAGGATAGGTAATTTGAAAAACAAATCGTTTAAATAGGGATACAGGTGGACCCATTGCAACAATGAGATGTACAAGTTGTTATGTCGAAAATAAACTTTACAACTTTGGGGGGGGAGAGGAATGGGGGGGGAGGGGAGGATGGGATGGGAAGGGGAAACAAAGGAGGAGGCTACAATGCTTGATTAGAAATGTACTCATTATCTTGCCCATGTAATTGTAACCCCTCTGTACAGTATTTTCACAATAAAAAAAAAGATAGGTAATTTGATCAGATCTTTGTGGCTCTAAATGTGACATACTTACCATTACACATATTTGGTTTATGATCATTCTCACATTGCTTTGTAACCAAATACTCCCAATCTTCATTTTAGAGAAGATTTGCATGACATAGGTTAAGAAATACTGGATCAAGAAAATGTGGTATATACACACAATGGAATTCTATGCCTCCATCAGAAAGAATGACATTGCCCCATTTGTTAGGGAATGGAAAGACTTGAAAAAATATATATTAAGTGAAGTAAGCCAGGCCCAAAGAAACATAGGTCCCATGGTTTCCCTTATTTGCAATATCTAGTATATATCTGAGACAAGCAGAAAAGGTCAGATAAGTTGATGTTAGGCGAAATGAACTCCAAAATAAGGACTCAAGTGGTTTTTCTTTCTTGCTATTGTTTCTAACATATTTATAAGATTTTTTTGTTGCTTTGTATGTCCTCTCTCATGGTATAACCCTGTTTTCACTGTATTTGATGTTGGTATAATTTATGGATGGGAAGGGAAAAAACAAATCATTTAAATAGGGATACAAGTGGACCCATTGCAACAATGAGATGTACAAGTCATTATGTCAAAAAATGAACTTTACAACTTTGGCGGGAAGTGGGGAGGGGAAGAGGAAGGGGAAACAAAGGAGGAGGCAACAATGCTCGATAAGAAATGTACTCATTACCTTGCCCATGTAATTGTAACCCCTTTGTACAGTATTTTCACAATAAAATTTTTAAAAAAGAAAGAAAAAAAAAAGAAATACTGGAATGGGCTGGGCACAGTTGTCAGGCCTGTAATCCTGGCTACTCAGGAGGCTGAGATATGAGGATTGTGGTTCAAAGTCAGCTTAGGCAGGAAAGTCTGTGAGACTCATCTCCAATTAACCACCAGAAAACTGAAAGTGGCATTGTGGCTCAAGTGGTAGAGCACTTGCCTTGAGCAGAAGAGCTGAGGGACAGCACCCAGCCCAAGAGTTCACTCATGACCAACAAAAAGAAAAAGAAGAAAAAAAGAAGAAATACTGGAATGGGTCCATTGATGGGGTTACTTTGTAAGAATAAAACTTCAGTGTCTTCTTAATTTTTTTTATTTTCAGTGTTAATGATGAAACCTAGGGCCTCAGACATACTAGACTATTACTGTGCCACTAACGTTTAGCATTTTTAAGCTTCTTACACCATAAATTTTCATGTTATATTTCCTGTGACTTGATTCAAATTTTGTCCATAAGCATTGGAGAAGCAGATATTAAAAACCTTTTTACATTATCTGTAATCATTTTCAAGTATTTATTGCTTCAAATTTGGAAGAAGCAAATTTTTCCAGGTAACCATTCATTGAAAATAAGTTTTCATTGAATGGTGGCTCAAGGTCATCTTAGTTGCTGGGTTTTCTTCATAGAAGGGAAATTAGATGTGGTGGCATGGGGCTGTGATCCCAGCTCTGATGAGAAGTCCCAAGTAAGTGGATCATGGCTCAGGTGATAAGAAGTTGGAGGGTTGGAGGCTTGGCTCAGCATAGCAAGCATGAAACCTTGAGTACAAACCCCAGAACTACCAAAAAATCAAAAGTAGGCCTTGAAGGCTAAGTGCATGTGGCTCACACATGCAATCCTAATTATTCAGGAGGCCAAGATCTGAGGATTGTGGTTCATAACTAGCCCAGGCAAGAAAGTCTATAAAAATTTTATTTGCAAAAAGTTGGAAGTGGAACTGTGGTTCAGATGGTAGAATGCTAACTTTAAGCACAAATCTCAAAGACAATGTCCAAGCCCTGAGTTCAACCCACAGAAGCAGCGCGCGCACACACACACACACACACACACACACACACACACACACACACACAATGACCCTGAGTCCTTTCCACTTAATCTGTTTGCACCCCCATTGAGTTGTCAGCTTTTCATTGCTATGACAAAATGCCTGACATAAACACCTTAAAGGAAGTAGTTGGCTTTCTTGCATTGAAACTATAGCAGAAAAGTGCATCATGACCAAAGTGTGTGACAAAGGAGTGTTCACTTGCTGATTGACACAGCGCAGAGATTTAAGTCCCAGTATCCCATCCAAGAATACATCCCAGGGACTTAATTTCTTTCCTTAGGTTCTACCACCTTCTGAGGCTGCAGTCTAGTCCTTAACATATGAACCTTTTGGGGACATTCCATTTCACTTCAGTCTTTCTTCTGTAAGTGAAGAGACTTAAAGTTTAAGCTCATAATGGATGCTTATAGCTCTCTTCTATGGACATCTGGACTACAACACATTAACATCGTTCTTGAATCTTGTCTTTCTCCTCCACACGACTTTCACCCCATTAGCAAATCCTGTTGGCTTTCCTATCTATTCTGGCATAAGCTGTCTATAATAAAGCACCATAAACTTGGTAGCTCAAACAGCAGACATTTATTTCTTACTGTGTTAGTGGTTGGAAATCCCAGATCAGGCTGTCAGGAAGACGGAGTTGTGACAAGGACTCATCCTAGTTAAAAACTTCTGACTTATTATTCGATCATCAGATGGTGGGAAGACCACTAGCCACCAATGTGTGCTCTGCCTAAAGGGAATTGATTTCATTCATGAGAATTCCATCCTCATGTCTACAGATTCTACCTCCAATTACTATCATGCTGGGATTAAGGTTTCAATGTATAAATTTGATAGGAGGACACACTAGCCAGTCCATTTCATAGTCTAGATAGATTAAAACTTTAAACATGTCTCACCACCTTCAATTCTACTGCCCTCCACCGGCCTATCTGGCCTTTGACCATCCCTACATCACAGTTTATTCCTTGTGAATTAAAAAAAGAAAAAGATGACTCTGGTTGCTGTAAATTAGATCATGGCTCAGAATATACTCCCAGATCCCACTAGTGTTGTATGATGTTACTGGTGTTCCTTATACCTCTTTTCTGCTTATCCACTCACCTGCCCACCTTATAGTTCCAGAACACTCTAGCCCATTCCTAAATGATGACTTTTTACTTCCTGTTTCCAGCCCACAGATAACAGTGTAGCTCATTCCTTCTCTGTACTAACACCTCTGTTCCACTGTCAGCTCAGGAGAAGAATTTTTTTTCCTATTTTACTGTAGCTAAAAAACAATCACACTTTCTTCTGTCATGCTGTGTGTGTTCATTTTATTTTTAGATACCAAATTACACTTTAAATGCATCCATTATGTGATATGAGATTAATGAAATTACTTTCTAGCATATTTCAAATTTCTCATAAAACAATTGGTGATAAAGTGAGAGAAAGGGGAGAGAAGGAAAGAGAGAAAGAAAAGGGGAGGAAAGTCGAGGAGAAGGGGAACGGAAAAGAGAAAAAGGGAAAGATGGAAGGACAGAGAGGCAGGCAGAGGAAGAGGAAGGAAGGAACAAGAGACATAGAATATGGTTTTAGTGTGTTTTATTTTGAATTTTCTCTAGCCCACCCTTTTCTGGAATTGACCAAATGATGACCTACAATTTAATTCTAAAAGGAATTGAAAAAATGGATTTTCCCAGAAAGATAACAAGGCGGCCTGAGGATTTGATCAGGAGACTTTGCAGGTGAGAATAACCCCTAGAATCTGCTTGCTTTGGAGAAAATGTTAAGGCTTGCGGGTTTCAGTTCTATACATTTTCTTATTGTGCTTTTCTGTGTTGCCAACTTACATTGAAAGTAAGGTTGTGTCTATTTTAGCATCTAAGTTTACCTCATGTCACAGAATCACTGTATAAGGATTCAGTTTTGCAAACTACATTTGCAAATCATCTTATAGAACTGTTATGAACAAAATAGAAGGATACATCTTGGTTTAAAATGAATGAATTAATTTATAATCTTGAGGAAAAAAATCAGTGATATAATAGTGTTACTACATGTGCTTCTTTCAATCTTTGCTTTTTTTTTCTTTTTAAAGAGTACTTTTCTATCTTACTTTGAGTGTTCCAGATTCCTTTTACTACTGAAAATCATTTATCAGAAAATTGGAGATTCATGGGTTTTTTTTTGCGGGGGTGGGGCTTAAAGTCTATTGTGCTGCTTCTTTCCCCCATATTTGAACAATAAAACATTGAAAGTTCATAAACTTTGAACATGGAATTTCTGCATGTTTAGATGTAAGTGATTCTGTAAAGCTCTCCCAGTTTTCCCCAGCAAGGCTGAGGAATTCTAGAGAAGACTTACGTAAAATAGGATTCATGGTCTTATGGACTTAAGAACTAAGTCCTTATGTAAAATAGGGCTTAGTAAGCATTACTCATAGTTTACTTGAAGGACTAACTCAATTAGGGGCAATATATTCATAGCTTCCTTTACTCAGACATATAACCCATGGTAAAAACTTGATGAATGGTTTTGAGTGACTAAATTAACCAAAAAATAAGTATATTATAAAGTGCCTTTGGAAAATTATCATTTCAGGCAAAATCCAACAGAAAGGCTGGGAAATCTGAAGAATGGAATCAATGACATAAAGAAGCACAGGTATATAGTTGCTACTTTGGCCAGAAAAAAAATATAGCAATTGATAGAATAATATACTAATCTTGATAGCTTCTTTTTATAAATGACAATGTTCTCTTTATAGACTCAGTTTTGCCTTCATGGCATTTTGCTTTCTCCTTGATATTTTACTAGTTTTACTATAGTTATTGTAATCAATCTCTAAACACCTTTTTAATGCTAGAAATTCATATCAAGAATGGGTGAGTCATAAAGCAAGTTATAAAATTACATTGAATCCACTGCTGTTCTTATAATTATCTTCAAATACTAATTAGGATTCTGTGAAGGAATTGAGTTTTAATTATGACTTTGAATGGGTAAATTAAAAGAGATTCAAATTATTGTTGTTAATGTTCAAGAGATTATGCCAGTTCAATCAACTACTATATAATGCTAAGGAGAATTTTGAGGTCATATTAGTGGAAGAGCAATATGCATGTAGAAGAAATTATATGACAAGTTTTGATTTTGATCTTCCTTTGGACCAATGATAAGTGTTAAAATTGTGTCCTGAGGTGCTGGGCACAACTCATATCCACCCACATCACAATTAAGAGGAAAATAACCAGTTCTAGGGTGGCCTGTTACGTTAGCCATGGTACTTGGTAAATTAAGTGTATTTCTATTTAGGGCACTTGCAACTTACAAAGAGTTTATCAATATATGACTTCATCATAAGTCATTTGTATTCTATTTTGGGTTTAACTCACATTATGTATTTGAAGCCTCATGCTGATTTTTACTTTTGGGGACAAAGTACATTGGTTTACACAAAATCTCAAATAATGCTTTTTCCCCATGCCATTTCTAGTCATATGAATTTCTAAAGGCCTTCAGAATCCTTGGGAACATCCTCTGTGGTTTGGTTAAATATTCAAATATGGCTCTTTTTTTTGTCAGTCGTGGGCCTTGAACTCTGAGCCTGGGCATTGTCCCTGAGCTCTTCAGCTCAAGGTGAGTGAGTGTTCTACCACTTGAGCCACAGCACCACTTCTGGTTCTCTGGTGGTTTATTGGAAACAAAAGTCTCATAGACTTTCCTGCCTGGGTTGGCTTTGAAGTGTGATCCTCAGATCTCAGCCTCCTGAGTAGCTAGGATTACAGGCTTGAGCCACCAGTGTCAAATATGGCTCTTTAAGCCATGGAGCATTTGTTGTTTGAAAGTAAGTGTCTGAGGAAGTCCTGTAATCATTTTGTTTATAATTGACAGAAAATATCACTTCGAAAATACATTGATGGTAACAAAAATAAAACTAAGAATTTCATTATGAAATACAGATGTGTTCACCTTAAGAAATGCAAATACCTCCAAAATAGCTGAGTCCTCTATGGATTGTTTTCCTCCTCTTCTTCTTCTTCCTCCTCCTCCTCCTTCCTTGCCTTCTTTGTCTTCTTTTTTTCTTCTTTAAATTCCTTTTGGCACTAGGGATGGAACCCAGGTTTCATGCATGCTAAGCACACACTATCAGTGAACTACACTCCCCAGCCCTCTGTGGATATTTTCACTGAAAAATTAGGAGCACAGAGTGAAGCAAAAGGGAGCGAGGTGGCTACTGAATAGAAACACTATTCATTTTCCTTAACAGTAGCAGCACAGCCTCTAGATAAATAATTAAATAAATCCCCAAGCTCTCAACTATCCTCTATGTATTCATGAACTTCCTTGAAATAAAGCCATGTATTCAACATTGTAAACTTGTGTGGAGCTCTGCCTTCAGAATGAATTAGAAAGAGAAGGAGGGAGGGACAGAGAAGAGAGGAAAAGACAGGCATAGTTGTGAATTTTATAGACATCAGAGTGCTTGCAGTATTTTAATCTTCTTTATTATCCTTTGGATTGCCTTTAATTTTGAAGCCCATTCTGTGTCTTAGATTCTAATTTATCTTCTTCCTGCATCTCACGCTGTTACCACAGTTTCCTCTCTCACATCAACATACCATTCGAGGAAACAAGTGTCCCATCAATTAAAGTGATTTGTCCCATATATTGTCCCCTTTCCCTTCATTAACATGTCTAGCTCTGAGGTAGTTGGGAAACAGAAGTGATATAATTGTTAACAGCCTCCATCTAGCATTATCCTTTATTTTTTTCTTATTTACCTGACACTCATTTAAATGTAGCTGTCAGATTGTGATTGGATAAACATGCAAATGGATGCTAAAGGATTTCCTCACCTAAGCATTATAATAAAGGACTCTGAATATCCTTCCTTATTGGGATTAATTTGCCTATCCTTACTAAGCAAGATTGCATTTGCTATGTGTGGCAGTGGAATAAGTGTGCAGAGTGCTGGGTTGATTTGACTAATAAGATACAACAACTTTATAGTGCATTTTCTGAGCTCAGAAACAGGCTATCATTCTATTTTCCTATTTTCATGCTACTTAAACTATAAAGTTAGGAGGGAGCTAGGGAAAAAGATAGTTGCCTCCTTCTCCAAATAATGGATTTTAATTAAAACAAAAGATTTATAACCTTGCCACCAGAATTGAAAAGGAATATTCTTAAGGTTTGACATTAGAGTTTTTCATTTTTCCCTAAACTATTTTTTCATAGAGAACAATTCATTTAGTTTTCTGTTTAACAGTGATATAGCTAATTATGCCATATTGTTATGTATATTTTCCCATTTTATGTTAAATTATTTATCTTAAAAATAATTACAGAGCTTTTCTCTCCCCTGTGCACTATAACTAAATACTGGACATGTCTCTCAACACCTATTTTAAAAAAAGACTAAAGAACCTGGGTACAGTTAATCCTTTCTTGATAAGAATAGGAATGATTTGTTCTCAATATTATAAGATTATTTTTACTTTTAAGAATAATGTCTACAACTCTCTCAAAAACAAAGAAGCAATTTATGAGCTGCTGATGTTAATAATTTCTGGCGAATATTTTCCACACAAGAGCACATGCTGGCATTTGGGTTACTTAAAATGTGGTTAGTGTCAAAACTCCAAGTGTTAAGTGAATGGCCACTCATGTTAAGTAAATATTGACATAAGTCAAATTGCAACAAGTACACCACCATAAGAAATGTTCGGCTGCCTGATTTAGCGGATTAATAAAAAAATCACTGCTATTAATATTGTTGGGAACACCTACTGGGTAGAGAGCATTGTGAAAATACATTATAAGGAATGATTGCCATACTCCGTGGCCAGAGTCCACCGAACTGTGTACCTAGAAATCCCTGAAAATGGAGCTTCAGCCTGTGTGAAGGCTAATGGGTGGGGCTAAAACAGAACCTCTGTGGTTTGCCAGCAAGGACAGAAGAAGGACATAAAACAGCTGGGTTGTTGTCTGACTCTTACTCTTTGACTGGAGTTCCAGCAGCTTCTACCAAAATGGTAACTAAAATGGAATGTACTAGAGTCAGCCTTCTCTGTTTTTAGTTCCTTTTCAACTGCTAAACTTAGACTTGGATATGGAAATCCAGTCAAGGACTCCACTTACACTCACTCAGGGGTGAAGAGAGGTTGAGAGAGGTGGGAGAGAACTGTTTCCCTGGAATGACACAAGTCCCTAGTCTCAGTTATCATGCCCAGCAGCCTACCCTCATTGCCCACTCTCCCCATCACCCTTGACAGAGCCAGATTTCTCTCCCAAGATGATGAACCATTTCCTTAGAATTTTGAACTGTCTTCCATTACATCAAAAGATTTTGATTCCTTACTATGTCCTAAAACATCTGAACGTGGACTAGCCTTTGGCCATTTCTCAGATACTCTTTTATTTTTCATTCCCCACCCCCATTTTCCTTACATTTATATTTTAGTTTTTCCTATCTGGAAAGTCATTGCCCTGGATCTTCTAATTACATCACTCTTTTCTTTATATAGTTTTAATTCAAATATCACTTCTTTAAATAACAACCTAGCCTAAATCAACACCTCCAACTTACTTCTTCATATATGTATATTATAGGCATATTATTGCAAAGATATGTTATTGTAAAGATATTGTATAAAGGTGCTACAGTTTCATGAGTAAGGTAATGAATATATTTCCTATTGAGCATTGTTACCCTCTTCTTTGTTTTTCCCCTATCATCCCTTCCCTCCTCACCTCCCTAACTCTTCCCTCTCCCCCAAGTTGTAAAATTTGTTTTCAACATAGTGTCTTGTACATATCATGGTTACAATGGATCAGCCTATATCCTTGTTTCAGTATTTTGCTATTTCCCTTCCCCTCCCCAAATTAGAAAAATGTATATTCAAGATGCAGGGCACTGGAATCAAATACAGTAAAAACAGGGGTTATACCACAGGCGAAGAACATACAAAAGAAGCAAAAAAAAAAAAAATCACACAGTACAAGATCAAAAGCTATGTACATACGATTGTATAAGATGATGCTAAGCGAAATGAACCCCAAGATAGGGACAGAAGAGGTCTTATATTTGTTGCTGTTGTTTTTAATGTACTATGTAATTATTTTTGTTTTTTTTGTATGTTCTTCCCCCATGGTATAACCCCGGTTTTCTTATCCAGCCATCATCTACCACTTTGTCATACTTGTTAGTATATAAAACTAAATGTTTTATATTATTTACTTGGATTTTTGTCTGTTGTCTTCCACCAAATGAAAACATTTATAATGTAAGATCTTTGCATTTTTGATATCTGAGACCAACTTGCCTTGCCATAATTTTTTAAATTATCTTAAAGTAGTTGCACAGAAGAGTTGCCATTCAACAAAGCAGTTTATGATGAACACAATGCATCTTGATCAATGTCACTCCTTTCATAATTCTCCTCCATCCCTCTCAACTCCACCATTTCCCACAGTTTTCTTAATTTTGTAGGATATGCATTGAATTGTTAAAGAGTTGGTTATTTCCTTACTTTTGAAAAATTTTTACATTGAATTTTATGACTGCATTCTCTTCTCCCTTTCTTCCTTTTTTATTTTATTTATTTATTTTTATTTATTTTTGTCAGTCATGGGGCTTTAACTCTGGGTCTTGGCACTGTCCCTGAGCTCTTTAGCTCAAAGAAAGCACTCTACCACTTGAGCCACAGTGCCACTTCCCCCCTTTCTTCCTTCATTTGTCATAAATTTTTATTGGCTGACCTCAGTATCGCCACAGAAAAGATCAGTGGATACAGAAGTGTATTATTCCACATTATTTATAAGATTCTGAGAAGAGGTTGAGAGGCAGATAGACAGAGACAAACAGAGAGAGATTGTGTTTAAGAGAAGTGAGGACTCCAGAATTTTGGTATTGCATTTATAGTCTAGCAAACTTTTTATAAATATATATATATATATAAAATATGTGTATCATATATGTGTATATAATATATATATGAGAATAGTCCTTTGAGATAAATGTTATAGAAGTAAGGAAAAGCTTTATCTTCTTATCAACTTAGTTCTGCATTTTAAAATATCACTATAAAATACTCCCTTGTCTTGAAACTTTTTTTTAATTGTAAAGATACTGTACAGAGGGGTTACAATTACATGAGTAGGGTAATGAGTACATTTCCTATGGAGCATTGTCATTTCCTCCTTTGACCCACCTCCCCAACTCCTCCCTCCTCCACCCGACATTGTAAAGTTCATTTTCAACATAGTGTCCTGTATATCTCATTATCACAAAAGGTCAAACTGCATCCCCATTTAAGCATTCCGCTATACCCCTTCCTCTCCCCAAATTTCAAAAATTTATATACAAGATGCAGAACACCGGAATCAAATACAGTGAAAACAGGGGTTATGCCATGGGGGAAGAACTTACAAGAGAAACAAAAGAATCACATAGTGAATTATAAGTACATTAAAAACAATAGCAAGCAAGAAAAAAACTCCTTGTGTCCCAGTCTTGTGGTATATTTTGCTTAACATTATCTCATGTGATCATATGTACATAGCTTTTGACCTTCTCTGTTTGTCATAGACCTGTACTAGACATTGCAAACAAGGGAAACCATGGGACCTATGTTTCTTTGGGCCTGGCTTACTTCACTTAATATAATTTTTTCCAAGTCTTTACATTTCCTAACAAATGGGGCAATGTCATTCTTTCTGCTGGAGGCATAGAATTCCATTGTGTATATACACCACATTTTCTTGATCCATTCATCTACTGAGGGGCATTGGGGTTGTTTCCATATCTTAGCTATGGTGAATAATGCTGTGATAAACATGGTTGTACTGGTAGCTTTGGTATGACCTTGTTTGTGATCATTTGGGTAAATGCCCAAAAGTGGGATTGCTGGGTCATGGGGGGAGCTCTATGTGGAGTCTTTTGAGGATCCTCCATACTGCTTTCCAAAGTGGTTGAACAAGTTTACACTCCCACCAACAATGAAGTAGGGTTCCCTTTTGGCTACATCCCCTCCAGCATTTGTTGTTTCTAGATTTCTTGATTATAACCATTCTGACAGGGGTGAGGTGGAATCTCAATGCTGTCTTGATTTGCATTTCTTGTATGGCTAGAGATGTTCAGCATTTCTTCATGTCTATTGGCCATTCTTATTTCCTCTTCAAAGAAGTGTCTCATTAAGTTTTTAGCCCACTTATTTATCAGGCAGTTGTTTAATTGAGGATTTGTTATTGTGGGCTTTCGTTTTTTGAGTTCTAAATATTTTAGATATGAGACTTTGTCTGTTGTACACTAGTGAAGATCTTCTCCCAGTCCATGGGCTTTTTATTGGTCTTGCTAGCTATGTCCTTTGCCTTGCAGAAGCTCTGCAGCTTCATGTAATCCCATTTGTCCAAACTTTCTTTGATTTGTTGTTTCTGGATGTCTATTAAGAAAATTTTGGCCTGTGCCAAGGAATCCTAGAGTTTCTTCTATTTCTTCCTGTAATGTTTTCAGGGTGTCTGCTTTGACTTTGAGGTCTTGAGGTCTTTGATCCATTTGGAGTTGATTCTGGTGCAGGGTGATATATACAGATATAGCTTTAGTTTTCTACAAGTGTTTAACCAATTTTGCCAGCACCAGTTACTAAAAAGGCTGTCTTCCATTCTATTTCTTTAGCTCCCTTGTCAAACATTAGGTGGCTATAGGTCTGTGGGTTCATTTCTGGGTCTCCAGTAGTATTCCATTGCTTCCCAGGTCTGTTCTTGAGCCAGTAGGAAGCTGTTTTTATTACTATGGCTTTGTAGTAGAGTTTGAAATTTGGTTGATATTCCCCTAGTATTGTTCTTTCTACTAAGAATTGTTTTTGTTGTTTGGGGTCTTTTATTGTTCCATATGAACTTTTGGATTGCTTCTTCTATTTCATTGAAGAATGAGGTTGGGATATTGATAGGTATCACATTGAATTTATAGATAGCTTTTGGCAGTATTAACATCTTCACGAAGTTAATCCTTCTAATCCGGGAGCATGGGAGGTTTTTCCACTGTCTTGCAGCTTTTTATATTCACATTAGCAGGGACATCATTCCCATGTCATTGTGGTATTATGCCCTTATATAGTAGCCACTCCTGTGCAAGTTTGTGCTCCTGCTTAAGATTCTACAGATATTTATTGAGCCCTATTCTGTGTCTCATACTTTCTCAAATATTAAGGAAAGGGATAAAACTCCTTGCTGAGTTGGAGCTTATAGCCTAGAGGAAGAAATAGAAAGTAAGATAAGCCAAAGAAATCAACAAGATGAGCTAGACAGTTCATGAGATAGGTAATGAGATAAAAATAAGGCTGAGAAGAATGGTAAGGTATTGAGAAGCAGGTGAGAAAGGTTGTAATATTATAGTAGATGGCTTTAAAAGCCCCTGCTATGAGGATGATCTTTGAGGCAAGACCTGAAGATACTGAGAGATAAAGAATAGTCCATCATTGGGTGCAGAGGCCTTAAAGTGGGAGAGTTCTTAGCATGCTGGGGTGGCTAATGGGTGAAGCAAGTTGGCTGGAGAAAATGTGGAGCTCCAATCTGAGTATGATATGTATATGCTAGTTGCCTCTTAAACAACAGTGATAACAACATTTGCAGATGGAAGTTTGTTAAACCACTGGGAAGCTCCTAAGTGGGAAGAGGGACATTAGAATGTAAATGTTATTGAAAACCATGAGACTGAATGAGATTAATGTAGGAAACCAGGGTGACTGAAAAGAGAAGGACTGGGTTCTGGAGCACACCCCCTTCAACAGGAAATCACAGTGGATGAAGCATAACACTCAGACAGTAGAATGTGGAAGTCAGATGAACGAAGCATTTTAGCAAGTAAAAGGAAAACTGGGACTCAAGGTGGAGGGAATGAAACCAGACTGCAGCATAATCAACAGAAAAATGGATATGTAGAGTAGTTAACCCTTGCAAGGATTTTCTCCTAGTATGGGAAAGAGAGAAATGGACTGAGAGAAGGGAACTGAGGTTAAAGATGGGGTTTGGTGTTTATGGTGTTTCTATATTGGTGGTAATGATCCAGGAACAAAGACTGGAGAAAGGAGAATTTGAATATGGATTTGAATAGAAAAGAGGCAATGGAGTCAAGTATACAGAAGAGGAACTGATCCTAAGTGGAAGCAAAGACAGGTCAACAGTGAGAGAGAGAGAGAGAGAGAGAGAGAGAGAGAGAGAGAGAGGATAAATAGATAAATCAGGTAGAGAAATATATAAATGGATGAATACATAGCTTGCTAATAGTTTATTAAATAAGCAACATTCTCTCATTCCTCAGGTGGCTAAATGGGTTCAACTGGGAGGGACTGAAGGCAAGGAACCTTCCATCACCTTTACGAAGAGAGGTATGGTATTTACTATATTACTTTCTTGATTTTGTCCTTGGAATTTGTTTTTCCAAACAGATTTTAGGGAGGGGGGTATGAAAGGCAGATGTGTCTGTGTGTCCATGCACATGCGTACCATATCTAGGTGGTTCCTTAAAAGTGTTTTTCCCTTGACCCCACCCCACCTCTTTCAAGAAAAGAAAGAGTAGAAGAATGAAGAGAGGAAAAAGGGGAGAATGCAGTCAAGAATTTGTTGTTTATTGGACAAAATTAAAAAGGGTGAGAGAAGGGGTATATAGGGAAGGGATAGGTGAGAACATTGGAAAGGGATGATGACAAAGATACATATATTCATAAACTGCTTTGTTAAGCGGCAACTCCTTTTACCACAACTTACAGATACTAAATTAATTAATACAATATTTTTTAAAGATACAGTTTGACACATGTTGGGGGTAGGGGGAGAAATCTTATTAGGAAAGAGGCAAACTGAGTAAGGCCTGTATTATAGAACAGATCTAGGTGTTAAGGTCTAAGGTCTCTGATTCTTGTAACTGATTTGGGTGAGTCACTGTGCTTCTTGGACAGTTATCAGGCTGAATCCTTTAATAGAAGAATGATATGTTGCTAAATTTCTCAGTAATCAATTCCTCAATACTCAATATTCAAATATGTGAGGAAGAGAGATAGAATTATGAAATAAAAATAAAAGCAAAAGGCAGTTTGAAAGTGTTTAAATAAAAGTGAAAATTTACTAGTAATTCAGAGTATAGAGACTCAATAATATTGCTTCGTTGATGAGTGTGAAGTCACTTTTCAAGAACTAATTAAATGGCAATGCCACTTATGTCCCAAAATGGAGTTGGACAGACAAGCAGATAAAATGTCTCATTTAAGAATTACCTTTAGGAGATTGTGATTATTTATGTCATTTGATACTGTATGCTATTCAAACCATAATTATATCACTCTAGGAAAAATACTTGTCACAGAAATTGAAAATATAAGCTAAAGTTAAAGATGATCAAGTAATATTGTCAAGCATAAATGCTATTACATTAAGATGGATTTTATAAGTAAAATGGAATGGAAACAAAAAGAGAACAAAAGGATATGAAATTTCTACTGTTTAAATTTCTACTGTTTAAATGATGGATGTCAGATCTTGGTGGTATTTAGATCATACTAGATATATTTCATTGAAGTTATGGTAATGTTTTGATAGTGTCAATAATCACAGAAGTGTTCATTCTCCATACTGTTTATACCATTTCTTTTGGTTGATTTTTATTTCAAAGCTAGCACTCTATCATTTGAACCACAACTCCATTTCCAGTTTTTATTGGTTAATCTCACAGACTTTCCCACCTATGCTGCCTGGCTTTGAACTATAATCCTCAGATCTCAGCCTCTGAGTAGCTAGGGTTACAGGCATGAGGCCACTGACACCCACCACTATTTAGTCTTTTATTTAAAAAAAATCAGGTGTCAGTTTCCAAATGTACACCATGAGGCTCTCATGTTTCTTTCAGAAAAAAATATTAGCATGAAGCGATAGCGTGTTGAACTTGACAATTCAGCTTTGTACATCCACTAGCTGTACACAATGGCTGAGTCGTGTGAACTTCTGAATGATTTCTCCATACACATTATGACCTATCACATAGAGTATTTTTAATGATTTGTCATCTATTATTTAGTTAGGTACTATTGAATTTTTCTGGAAAGAAAGGGATTTGAAGCTACCTGATTTGCAAAATAATTTAATACCAGACTGTTCTTTCATCTTTTAACAAGGTCATAAATATCTTAATTACCCCTTAATTATAAATTACTTAATTTATAGGAATGAGTTAGCCATATAAAAATTCACTATTGGTCAGAAGCTTCTAAAAAGTAGAAGGTGTAAATCTTAGAATTTTTAATATTTACTTAAAATATTTTTAAATCTGATAAAAGTGTGTATTATTGCTGGCATAGTTTTTTTAGAAAATAACTCGTCATACCAGATATCTCCTCATGAGTTAGTCTAATGACTAAAACATTTGTTTCTAATGAGGAAGGGGAACTCACAAGGCTAAGACTCTTACTACATGATAGTAATGAACCATTTTATTCATTATCTGCAATTTACAAGAGTCTATATCATGAAATCAAGGTTCAACTAGTAAAAGCATCACCCTGAAAGGGTGACATCAATTAAGATACATTGTACTTGTAAACTGATTTGTTGAATGGTAACTCTTTTTATACAACTACTTAAAGATAATAAAATATATAAGACAAAAGAAAAGGCTTCGGCTCAATTGTAATATGCTTAGTCAACATTATCTTGGTCTTTGGTTCAACTTTTTCTGTATTAGATCAGTGGACCCATAGATCACAGCTACTTTGACAAGTATCCGCCTGAAAAGGGAGTACCACCAGATGAGATGTCAGGCTGGGATAAAGACTTCTGACAGAAGACAAGGCGATTACTGCTGTTAGACCTTAGAAGAGGACTATATGGATCAATAACCCAACACTGATTATTTCTCGCTTCAAAGTATTATATGAACTTTTGGAACACCATGAAGGACAAGAAATCTCTGCACAAGAGGTGGAGAATGGGTGGATATAGCTCTGAGTGATGAAGTCTCATTTAGATGCTGTGAATATTCATTATTACAGTCAGATGTTAAAGGTTATTTGCCTCTCTTTTCTACAATCAAAACCATTTTTGTTGCAGTGGCATAGTATTCTCTGAAATCTACTGTCTTCCCAAATTATGCCATTTTTGTCTCAGTCCCAGAGAATTTTCACAAGGAGCTTGTACTTGAATGATTAAGTCATGCAAACAGAAAGAGGAATGCAAAGAAATTTTGAAACATATCTTCATCACTCAACAACTCTATGTTTGCATGAATATATCTTAAGATGGTGGTTTTTAGACTTGACTTTCAACTTCTTTCAACCTAGAAAGCTTGAAAAATGGCTGAAAGTCTTTTGATTCTAGTCTAAAAGGCAAATTTGAATATTCCAAAATGATACTAATTCTTGATAAAATCAAGTCAATTAATCCAACTAAGTAATTATATTTTATTAAAGAAGAAAGGAAAACATATAAGGGAAATATTTTTCTCCTGTAACCATTTGTGATACCTCAGAAATTTTTCAAAAACTTTATTAAAAGCAGTTATAGTGTATGCTTAAATGAACATTAGGCCCTGGGAAAGGCCATACTAAAATTCACTACCAAAGTAGAAAAATAAATTAAAATGAAATAAAGGCTTTTCCTTTTCATTAAAGATAAAATAGAATACATATTAGTAGGCAAAGTTGGAGAGTCTTTTAAACTCTGAGGTATTTTGACCAATTTTGTTATTGTTGCTATTAATAAAGCAAAAAAATACAGTATTACCACTGTTAACTTTTAGTTAGAAGTCCCCTGGCAAGTGTTGATGCATTGTATTCACTGTAGCGTTAATGGATCATTTTAGAGACATTTGAGTCATGCATATATTGATAATTTTAACACAAGCTATTGGAGAAGTGGTAACATTTTAGAAAGAAAAAAATACCCAGGATATAGCCTTTTCTTGACTCCTCCTTGCAACCTTCCAAACAATAAACAGGATACACCCAGTAGTTGGACACCAGTACCTAAGAACTTTTCTTATGAATGCTTATTTGTATTGATCATGATCCCTCTCTTAGCCTCCTTTCAAAATGGGTAAGAAGCAGAGCTGCTTGTTGTATTTTTTTTAAACCCTGCAAGTAAAACTAATGTCTGATTTCCCACATTTTTCAAACGTCAGCTTATATTTTTATATGAAAGTAGTTTATGTGCAAAGCAACCTACTCCCACTCCAGGCACATATTTACATCATGCAGAGAAAGTTAGCTGTGTGCTTGCTGAAAAGTTAAGCTGGAGAAGTAAAACTTAACCAAGAAAGTGAATCCTTAACGAACTGCATTTCCACACTTAAGAGTCCTTTTGCTGAACCAAAGAGTTTTGTTTTTTTTAGAGTAGTATTTTTAAAGATTATGTATTGTACATAGAAGAACCATTTTTTAAAAAAAAGATTAGCATAACTTGCTTAAAGAATTTCTAAAATTTTTAAACTATTTTTATTTGCATTTAGTTTCTATGTACCATGTTTTTCCATGTATATATTTTAATGATTCTAAAACATAGAGGTATAAAACACATGTAATGATTGGTGGAGAGTAGAACTGTATAGATATCATAGCTATGGCATTCTCAAATGAGGTCAATAGTTGTAATTAAAAATAAACCCTATGTAGATAGAGATAAAACCCAACTAAGAATACACCAGGTAAATTCTGCCTGTGATTTGCCATGTCATATGGAGCCCACATGTGATTTTTTTATTGTGTTTCATTTGGAGTCATTTATAAAGTTAAAAATATGAGATATTAGACCATCATATAATCTCAGCTCCACTAGTTTCTAACTAAATGACCTTTGGAAAATTACTTTACTTGATTAATAGCTTTTACATTTGTAGAAAAAGGCAATATAAAGTCATATTTGCTTTAGAAACTTGTCTTTGAGAGTAAATAAGATAGCTTATTTACCTGGTAGTTGTGAAATGATTACTGTTACTTGGTTGAGAGCTACCATTACTATCTCTATGAAAAGTAAAAGGGGCTTAATTATTTTTTAGTTTTGAACATTATGTATTAATAGCATTTGTATTAGACTTGTCCAATTAAATCCAGTATCTGTCCTTTCTTTTTTTATTTGCAATCCTGAAGTAAGAATGGTTGATCAAACTTCAATGTATTTGAAGAAAGACTAACCTTTACCAAGACGAAGTGCTTTATTAATCTAACTTTAATTTTCATTTTTATGAATTAAACATATACACAGAGAAATTCAGAAAGTTATTCAAATATATTCTTAATCATTAAATGGTTTCTAATCTGTCTTTTCTAAGATATAAGGCTGTTTTTGTTCTTGAGACTTTTCCATGTTGGAACAAATTTTCATAATTGTGGTTTCTTACTCTTTCCATAAATATTAAAATGTCTGTAGGAAGGAGAATGTAGAAGTGAAAATAAGAAGATTCTAGCTTTTAAAAAAAAGCCTTCAATTTGAGGTTCCATTCTGTCTGGATTTCCATGACTTCAAACAATAAAACACATCCCTTTTTTAAATTAAAAAAAAAGGAGTTGGATCATAGATATTTAAAGTTTTAATTTGGATCAGGTCATTATGCTAGTAATTCATTGATAATAATCAGTTGGAAATAAATATTTACATATATCTCTTGGATTAATAACAATTATTATTCTTTATTGTTAGACATTATGCTAGAAGCACTTATATTTTTTCTCATTCATCCAGATTCTAAAATAATTATAAACATACTGAATATTGTCTGCCTTTCCCCTAACTACATAGAGCCCATAAGTATTTATTTTATTCACAATTTACTTATGATGTTTTTCCTGGATTAGTCCTGGTTTCTCTGACTCTATTCTAAATTATCTCAAAACCGAGGCACTGAAAGGCCGTCTTATTTTTTTCCAAGATCCTATTGGCGAACACATGGCTAGGAAGTTCTTTCTCTCTAGGACAATATTTTGGACATTGGTTGCAAAAACTTAAAGACTAGGGGTAATTTAATGACTGGGCACTGAAGTAACCTGAAGGCTGTTCATGTGCATACTTGGTGCCTGAGCTGGAACTACTTAGCTACTCAACAAATAGGACTGCAGACCATAGAGTCTAAATTTGTCGTTGTTATGGCTTACATTCCCTACATCATAGTATCATTGAAACTGTCAGATTCTTTCCCAGAACTCTCAGGATCCATGATTGAGTATTTGAGCCAAGGAGGCTCCTAGTCTTGGCAGATGCATAAGATTGCTTCGTCTATATTCTCTTGGTGGGAACCTAAGCCCACACCTGGAGGTGACAGAACAGAATATAAGTGCAAATTCTTAATAGAGTTTTTAAAAATTACATGCAGTTCTTAAAACTTTCAGTGCGATCCACTTTCTGGTTACATAGTACTTATTTATTACCCTTGTATGCAAAACAACTTCATTCCAGAACCTCTCTAAAAATATCATCAGACTCAGGTCAGGCTCAAGAGCCAAGATCTTGCCATCTGAATCTAATTCAGATGTGGACAGTACCACTCAAGTATAATTTCTTGAACATATTCTTTCAGGTTTGAAAGCCCATGAAATAAGTGAACACATCATCTTTCCCAACACTCACAGCATTAGATAGTAAAATGAGCAAAAGAGAACCTTTACAGATATTTGTGCTTAAGGAGAGCTAGGAAAGTGGAAGACACAAAGCAGTCGCTTGTCTGTAGTAATTCTGAAAGATGGCCTGGCACGTGTTAGAATTTTCTGCTTAGGTCTAAGTCCTCCTTCCTATGGATTGGTCTTTATATATATCTTCCATACACACATTCACAATTTATGCTATGAAAGAGCTTAAAACCTAGAAAGATAGGAGAAAATTCTACAAATTCTTTAGAAGTTCTGTTTCTATAAACGAAAGGGTGTTTCATGGCACAGGCTTCAAAGGTCTGTTTGTAGGGGCTGGGAAGGTGGCTCAGTGGTACAGTGCTTGCCTTGCATGCATGAGGCCCTGGGTTCGATTCCTCAGCACCACATAAGCAGAAAAAGCCGGAAGTGGCACTGTGGCTCAAGTGGTAGAGCACTCACCTTGAGCTGAAGAGCTGAGGGACAGTGCCCAGGCCCAGAGTTCAGACCCACAACCAACAAAAAACTGGTATGGTAGGCAGCTTCCAGTGAACTCTGCTTATGGTATGCTTGTCTTTTATAATTTTCTCTTTTTCAGTGCTGGCTGAATTTGGTGAATCCCTAGTTTACAAATTAAATATTACAAAAGTGATGGTCTTGTTCTTTCCCGGATTACATTAGAAAATCATTCTACTGCATTCTACTTCATAGTGTTTCCTACTAATGGGGTAGAAGTAGACATAAAGTGGAGGGAACGAAAATAAATGGAACACAAGAGAAAGAAAACTGATTCTTGAGGAAAAATATACTAGAAAGTGCATTGACAGGCCAGAAGCCATGAAGACAAGCTTGCGTCTTTCTCCCATGTTGACCAATATTAGGCTTCTGAGTGGGCTACAGTGTGTACTCTGACATGGTTTAAATCTACCTGGTTTAGGAATTGAAGATTACAAAGCAACACTTGGTTGAAGTTAGAGAAGCCAAGTCTAAATGCTGCTGTCTACTGAAAGCTAAGTCCTTAGATCAATAATCTGCATGAGCTGCAGCAGTTGACCTTATACTGATATCCAGAGTGCAGTGTAACTGCCTTTTACACCTGCCTTTCAGAATAATATCCAAAATCCTCTTAGAGAAAGTTGAAATCAGAAACCAGCAAAGAAAGTAATTCTGGGAAACATAAAGTAGCTCAGTTTTGAAATTATCAAGATATAAAATATGTCTTAGTTTTTAGCTTGTTTTTTTTAAAGCTTGGGTTTTTAAATAATGATCTTTGCCTTTTCTCTTTCTGCACAGTATTGGAATGTATTTCAGACACAAACCACATGACACAATGGAAGAAGCAATAATAATGTGTCTCAGGTGAATTTCAGGCAACATTAAAATGAACTATAACTGAACCATTTCAATTTAAAGGAGATAAAACCAAGACATGATTGTTTATTTCCTTATTGGTTGATAAATTAAGAATGGTATAACCTTAAGTAACAAGAGAT